TGTTACATTGAAATTTTATAAACTTAAAGTGGATTGAAAGCATGGGTAATTTGAAAAATACAAATCTCATAATTATTGATTCATCTATTAGAAAAGTTAAAGGTAAAACAAACTCCCAGGGCCTTACAAATAGTATAAAAGGTGAGCCACTGAAACACTCCCCAAGGGAGTTTTCTACTTCACTGTAACCTCATGAGCACAGCTTCCCCAATCTGCATTCTGTGGTTATTCTGTTCTTTCCATCCCTCACCACAGGTGCCCACTAAGCTCTGCTATTGTAGGCTCTCTCCACACTAGTCCAATCACTCAAAAATCCATCTGTAGACATCCCTAAGGTCTCATCTGAATTACCTGAGATGTAGTTGAAATTCTTCTCAGTGGAAATTGTGTGTGTCTGTCAGCAGTCTGTCCTTATGAAAAACAAAAACATACACAGAAGAAGAGAATTTATGAGCTTCGAATTAAACGTAGAAGTAGAAAAATACGTTTGTGTTCACAGTTTGAAGGCCACATCTCAAACATCTTCTAATTAACCCACACTGAAAACCAACCTCATGACACGGCCTTGGGGGCCATGCAGGTCCATTTTACATCTACACTCGTTCGTGGTGATGAGTCCCCCACTTCAGTCCAGCTCCTGTATCACACATAAGTCTGGCCTTACTGCTCTAAGTCCTGGAAACACCTTTGCTGAGCAGTGTGGATATTCACTCAAGGAAAGAGGGACTGTGACCATGGTACTTCCATGCACTTTCTGCTGTAAGACACTCAACACGTGTTCTAAGCATTGCAGCCATCACCACCATCATGACTGCTGTGGTCATCAATGTCCTCTAGTAACCCTTAAGAAAAAGCTCATTACCACATAAATTTTTCCTTTAGGAAGTTGTCAAATCCTGAAAAAGGGGAACCGGAGCTGCGGAGATGAATGGCCGTTGTAAGGACCCTGTGACAATGTTATGATGGTCTGGGTGAATGAGTGAGGTGAACCAATGGGCCGTCTATGAGAAGGAAAGAACAACCTTGAGCCACCCTCAGCTGGTAGGTGCTGGTGGAAGGCATCAAGTCTATTGTAGCTAAGTCTTGGCCCTTGTTGATGTAAAGATAGTTCAGGCAGATGTGGGTGCATTTCAGGGAGGGTCCACATCTGTAAGAAGAGAAGACAGCCAGGCACAGGCCTATAGTATCAGCACACAAGAGCTTGGTGGAGGAGAAACAGGTTGACCTGGGGTTTATAAGGCCCTGTCTTTAAGAGAGAGAAAGTGGGTTGAGAGTCTAGATATTGATTCTAGACAGGGTCTAGAGCCTGCTTCAGCCCTAGCACAGGGCAAAAGGGAGGCAGTCCCCTGCCAAGGGCAGTCTCTCCTTCTGTGGGTCTGCTGAAGAGACAGCTTCCTGGCACAAGGGAAGACGCAGTCCCCAAAAGCTACAACCTGGGAATCTGCCCATTTGGCAAGGCACTGCACCCAAATACCTGCAAAGGCTGCAGCCATGGTGAAGGGACCACATGACCCTCATATTCACAGCCATGCTGTGCCTCAGTGAGATGAGGGGCTGGGAACACCCTGGTCCTGGAAGGATTCTACCCTGGTCTGGGAGGGATCCCACCCTTCAGCCAGGCCTTGCAGCACCAAGACAACTCAGGAGCACATGTGAAGGGAGGACCTGGTCAGGCTTCAGGGAAGACCTCTCACAGAGAACTCTCTTCCAGGACTGAGTCTGGACCTCAGGACCCCAGTGCTTGCAGGTGAGTATGTTCCCAGCTTTCACAGGTAAGTCCTCCTCACTGAGGACAGGGGTCACCTCTGGGCATTGGAGACAGAGAGAAGCAGGTGTGGCTGATCCTGGGGAAACTGAAGAGGGTCCCTGGGCTGAGGGCTGGGGTCTGAGGGAGGGTGTCCTGTGACCCAGCCTCTGTTTCCTTGTGGAGAGCCTCCCCAAGCCCACACTCAGAGCTGAGCCAGGCTCTATGGTTGCCAAAGGGATGGAGGTGATCATGTTATGTGAGGGAAAACAAGATGCCATGGAATATTATCTCCATATAGAGGTAGCTTCAGATCCCTGGTGCAGACAGATCCCATGGAAGCCTGGAAACAGGGCTGAGTTCCCCATCCCATATACTACACAGTATTATGCAAGGCGATATCACTGTTCCTATAAGACTCCTGATGGCTGGTCAGAGTACAATGATCCTCTGGTTCTGGTTATGACAGATAAGAGGATATTCAGTGTCCAAGGCCCAGGTTCTCCGCACAAAAAAGCCTCCTCTCAGATGTGAACCCTTTCGCAGCCCAGCCCTGGAAGACAGTGCAGGCTGTGTGAACCCATTTAACACCCTGTCTCCTATTCTATGATTCTTATATAACAAAACCAGCCTCTCAGCCAAGCACAGCCCTACAGCAACCCCAGGAGGGTATATCGTCCTCCAGTGTGTCTCAAGATACTGATATGACAGATTAGTGTTTAATAAGGAAGGACCACAGGAGCTCTGCTGGACCCTGAACCCACAGTTTATATCCATTGTAAAGTTCCAGGCCTTGTTCTCTGCGTGCCCTTTGATCCCCAGACAGAGGTGGTGGCTCAGATGCTATTGCTATGACCTGTGTGTGGAACCTACAGATGTGGTCAGAACCCAGTGACCCCCTGAAGCTGGTCATCTCAGGTATGTAATCCACTCCCATCAGTGAAACTGAACATATGCAGGTTCCCAAGGGAGGACCTGGATTCTGATGGGTGAGGGGATCCATGGCTCCTGAGCCCTGTAATAGAGAGAGTGGGAGACACTGGACCTGATTTACAGAGGCCTAGGCAGAGAGTGAGAATGAAATATGGAAGTCAAGAAGAGGTCAAAGAGAGGGATGGGAGTCACGTGGCTTCACTGGTCCTAGAGCTGTTCAGGGTCCATCTGAAGTGCCATCTGTACATTTGATCTTTTCTCTGTTCCACTGTTTAAACAGACTCACCTGCTTCCTTACAAGGAACACCCCCCCAAAAAAACCCCAACATCTGGGCTGAGCCAGGTTCTGTGGTCACCTCAGGGAGTCCTGTGACCATCTGATGTCAGGGGACCCTGAATGGCCTAAAATATATTCTGCCTAAAGAGGGAGGCCCAGTATCCTGGGAAACACCGACTGCAGTGGAGCTGAGGAACAAGGCTGAGTTCTTCTTCTGATCCATGACAGAGCAACATGCAGGGCGATATTGTTGTTACTATTACAGCCCTGCTGGCTGGACTCAGTGCATTGATGTCCTGGAGCTCGTGGTGACAGGGGAGGGGACACTTAGGGGTCCCCATCTCCAGCCTCTGCCCTCAGGAAAAGGGACATGATATCAATGGTTCTCTCTCTCATCACAGCCCTAGAGAACAGTGGGGGATGTGTGAGTCCATTTAACACATTGCTTCCTTCTGTCCTAGCCATCTACAACAGTAAACCCAACCTGTCAGCCCTACCCAGCCCTGTGGTGACCTCAGGAATGAATGCCACCCTCCATTGTGTCTCAGAACATGGATTCGACAGGTTCATTCTGACCAGTGAAGAACTGAAGCTCTTCAGGACTATGGCCTCACAACACTTATCGATGGATCGGTTCCAGGCTCCGTTCACTGTGGGCTCTGTGAACCCCAGCAGCAGGAGAACCTTCAGATGTTATGGCTGTTACAAGAGAAAGCCACAGGTGTGGTCAGAACCCAGCAACCCCCGGAAATACACATCTCAGGTAAGGAAGCTTCATTGTTTCTGGAATCAATTTTGAGACTCCCCCAAGACCTTTGTTATGAGTCTCACTACTCTCCAGGGCTCCCAGGTGGGAGGATACCTGAAGAGACCTCTTTGGTCCTGAGCCAGAGTCTTACAGAATGATAAACAATGACACTTGCAGGGCAGGATGGGAGGGGCAGGTGTGTGTGAGGGGCAAGATCCTGATCCATGAGTCCATCTTCCATCCAGGGCTGTCCAAGGAGCCCTTGCTACTGACCCAACCAGGACCTCTCCTGGACCCTGGAGAGATTCTGATTCTCAAATGTTGCTCGGACATCAGCTACGACAGATTTTCCCTGTACATAGAGGAGGAAACTGGCCTCCCCCAGAGTCTTGTAACTCGTCTCTTTTATGAAAGATTTCCACTGGGTCCATGAGTGGCTGCATTGGATAAATACTCCCATAACACAAAAAGAAATTGAAACAGTGATACAAAACCTCCTGAAAAAAAAAAGCCCAGGACCAGATGTATTTACAGCAGAATTCTATCAGACATTTTCTACATTCAATACTACTTAATTTATTCAAAAAGGTAGAAATGGAGGGAGAACTTCCAAATTCCTTCTATGAAGCCAGCATCACTCTAATACCAAAGCCAGGTAAAGATACAACCAAATCAGGTAAAGATACAACCATAAAAGAAAACTATTAGACCCATATCCTTAATGAACATAGATGTAAAAATTATCAACAAGGTATTTGCAAACTGCATACAGACACATATCAAAAAGATCATCCACCATGATCAAGTCAGCTTTATCCCAGAGATGTGGGCATGATTCAATATGTCAATAAATGTCATAAATCTTATAAATGGGCTCAAAGAGAAGAAACACATGGTCATCTCAATAGATTCAGAGAAAGCCTTTGACAAAATTCAACATGAACTGGGCAGAATTCTCCATAAGAGCTGTGACCTCAGCCCTCAGGGGAAACCTGCAGGGGCTATGGCTCTTAAGGCTCATCCCCCTACCTGTTGTCATACCCCAGTGCCCTTATGGGGCCCCTATTTTCAAGTAAGGTGACTGGGCTCTTGGAGCTGAAAAGGTCACTCAGAATCTGGCAATCAGAAGTTTTCATGACTGGGATGGGAGTGAGAGATGCTAGGGAGGATCAGCAGGAGAATATTCAACCAACAAGGTTGTCCACTATTCCACTTCTCTTTAACATAGTGCTTGAAAATCTTGAAAGACCAATAAGACAAGAGCAGGAACTTAAAAAGGAGTAATAATTGGAAAAGAAGAGATCAAATGATCCCTTTTTGCAGATGATATATTATATCTAAGGGATGCCAAAAATTCCACCCA